TCAAAATCGTTAATATACATTTGAATGTTAACATTCAAACTTGATTACAATCTCAGGCATAACGTCGACCGTGTACTTGAGAAACTACCTGTATTTTCCGAGCATTTCTATTCGTGTGGGTAAGATGAATGTCATTACAGTTTGCTGACTTTTCCTTGTCTATGATTCCTACATATTTATGTTCGACTGTTTGTGAACAGGATCAAAAAAAATGCAAAACATACGATTCTGTTACCTACTGTAAAGATCTCAATGATGTTGGAACGCGTGTCCAGATTTTAACGAGCTAAATACACTTTTGGTCGATGATTCAGCGGAAAAAATGATTTATAATCCGGTAGGTTGCATTTATGCAATATGTTTCTGATCAGTTGAACAGGTGTTCAGACATTGATTATTTTAACAACTTATGTGTTTATATAGAAATACAATTACATATGTCCACATACCTTTGACGCTGCTTCCCATTCGAACGACAAAGCTCTAGGTATGACACAAATTTATTCATGCTTATGCGAATTTAATTTATTGTTAGTAAAATTGCACCTCATTAGTTTGATAATTGAAATTATTTATGTATGTCCTCAGAAAAAGGCGGAAACATACGAGAGTATTTGGAAAATTTGTTGAAGGCCTCTAATGTTCCGGACTTCGTTAGAAACAACCCTTTTTCATCGGATTAATTTTGTTTGTCGGTACATATTTGAACATTCTTATGTATTTAAATTTTGGTGTGATTATATTGTATGTATATTTTCATTAATTATTCCATATTTGCTTCTATGTGTACATATACATTTGAGTGTCTATACTTTTTTAATATATTGTAAAGTATCTATCCTTTTTATAAAAGTGTCTATACTTTTTCACTGTGGAAAACATTAATTTAAGGTTATCTTTTGAGTGAGTTTTAAGATATTAATTTAGTAATTATAGGCGTCTAATGATTAATTTTTTACGTTACGGTATATGATATTGTTAAATTAAAATTCTTAATATTATTTTATAAAATATCAACACAATCAACTAATTTTTTGTGCAAATGAATTATTAAATTAATATTGTAGGTGGAAAACATGAAACATACTTAAAAAATATGAAACATAAATTACATCTTTAAAAAAAGTATCGATCCTTTTTATAAAAAGTATGGACACTTTCAACATATTATAATAAAAATAGATAATTTTGTAATATAACCGGTATAAATATACCGGTCTTATGCGCAATAGGTCTACAACCTATATCGACACTTTTTAATATTGTGTCGGTACTTTATGTCCATATTGGAAGAAAAATGTGCGATACGATTTAAAAAAGTGTCGACATTTTACACATCGGAACCCATAATTATAAATAGATAATTTTGTAATATAACCGGTATAAATATACGGTTTTATGAGCCAATAGGTCTACAACCTATATCGACACTTTTTAATATTGTGTCGGTACTTTATGTCCATATTGGAAGAAAAATGTGTCGATACAATTTAAAAAAGTGTCGAAATTTTACACATCGGAACCCATAATTATAATGTAATAGATAATTTTGTAATATAACCGGTATAAATACCGGTCTTATGCGCGAATAGGTCTACAACCATATCGACACTTTTTAATATTGTGTCGGTACTTTATGTCCATATTGGAAGAAAAATGTGTCGATACGATTTAAAAAAGTGTCGACATTTTACACATCGGAACCCATAATTATATGTAATAGATAATTTTGTAATATAACCGGTATAAATATACCGGTTTTATGAGCGAATAGGTCTACAACCTATATCGACACTTTATAATATTGTGTCGGTACTTTATGTCCATACCATTTAAAAAAGTGTCGGTAATTTGAAGTAACGCGGTTTTTCTTCCTTCATTCAAAATATTATATGTACATACAATAGGAGTGATGTTGATACTTACGATATATTATATGGAGATCGTTGTCATTCCATTCCGTCTTCGAAAAAATCAGTTGATGTAGGCTGTGTGCTTGTACTCAAACTAAGCTTGACTTGAGGACATGTTAGTTTGTTATGCCCTCACCGTTGCAGTACCCACATCGCCTAATTTGCTTCTCGACCTTGTTCTTCGGCACTTCTTTTCGCTTGCGTTGTTTTCGTTGAGGGTCACGAACATTGTTTACTACAATGCTCTGGTTGACTGAATGATTCAAACCAAACGAGTTTTCTAATTCTTCTATTAGTTTTTTCATCTCATCTCTTGCGGTTTTGAAAGACTCTTCTTTGATGCAATGTAGCATAACCTACTTGACGTTGAACGTAGAGCAGCGAACCTTGCCATTTGCATCACTTCTGGAGACACTTCAAATCAACATAGCTGGGTGCAGAAGCCTTCGCATCATTAGTCCACTACTTTGAATCAAAGTCCCGGGCAAATATGTGTAGTCCAATGCTTCAAAATGTGAAGTTGATGGCGACACGGAAGTCCAACGGTCTCGAATTTTTTGCAGGAGCAAATTAGAGTTTTCGTACGAGAATCAAAACTAATTTCAAATTTCCTATTTTTTTCTGCGTACTTTGACAAAATATAATGTTGACATTCATCTGATAAGGACTTAATCTCTGCCTCAATCCGGTACAATGTCTCCCGTGTAAGTTCATCTTGGAACACACGAAAAGATTCGCGGGTAAAAATCGCAGCGGCATGGCTTTCAAGGTCGACCAGTTTTGTGATCTGGAAGGGCTTCGTATGGGAACTTAAGTAATCCGCTTTCAACTCGTTCATACGCACTAAACCCATGTTCCCGTGCGAATCCCTTGTAAAAGTGCCAAGCTTGATCACGTGAACAGAAGAGCTGACCAACCAATCTGTCAGATTCATCAACATTATGTACTTCATGGCATTCCTCGTTGGCTTAACATTGTCTACATCAGTATTATCCATGGCAAAAATTTTGTTGTGCAAGTTCAGTGCTCCAGGAGTTGATGGTATGTAAACGAAGGTTCATTTTGAACATGTTTCTGTAGTTAAAGGGTGGGTACAACATTAAATTCGCAGTACATATTTAGGTATGTACAATAACTACAAGTATATATTTTTAAAATTCGCATACACTGTTAAAAAAATTGAAACATAAATTAATTTTTAAAAAAAGTATCGATCCTTTTTATAAAAAGTATGGACACTTTCAATAAAATAGGTAAACATATGATGTAATAGGTAGCCCTTATATGTAATAGGTATCGTTTATATAATGTAATAGGTAGTGGTTATATTGTAAAGTGTCTATCCTTTTTATAAAGTGTCCATACTTTTTTCACTGTGGAAAACATTAATTTAAGGTTATCTTTTGAGTGAGTTTTAAGATATTAATTTAGTAATTATAGGCGTCTAATGATTTATTTTTTACGTTACGGTATATATTATTATTAAATTAAAATTCTAAATAATATTTTATAAATATAAAACAATCAAATAATTTTTTGTGCAAATGAAATTATTAAATCAATATGTAGGTGGAAAACATGAAACACTGTTAAAAAAATTGAACATAAATTACATAAGTTAAAAAAAGTATCGATCCTTTTTATAAAAAGTATGGACACTTTCAATATATAGGTAACATATGATGTAATAGGTAGCCCTTATATAATATAATAGGTATCGTTTAAATAATGTAATAGGTAATGGTTATATTGTAAAGTGTCTATCCTTTTTATAAAAGTGTCCATACTTTTTTCACTGTGGAAAACATTAATTTAAGGTTATCTTTTGAGTGAGTTTTAAGATATTAATTTAGTAATTATAGGCGTCTAATGATTTATTTTTTACGTTACGGTATATATTATTATTAAATTAAAAATTCTAAATAATATTTTATAAAATATCAAAACAATCAAATAATTTTTTGTGCAAATGAAATTATTAAATCAATATTGTAGGTGGAAAACATGAAACACTGTTAAAGTATCGATCCTTTTTATAAAAAGTATGGACACTTTCAATATAATATAATGTAATAGGTAAATTTGCAATGCTATCGGTATAAATATACCGGTTTACTTATAAAATAGGTAAATATAAGCGCTACCTATTACATTATATAAGCGCTACCTAGTATGTTATTGTACTTTATAATATTTCCGGTTAAATAATATAACATAACCGGTCTAAATTTTAACCGGTCACTTGTTTAACCGGTCACGCCGTATATTAGCCGTTTTTTAGGCGCGGCATCGCAGAACGACCCAGACCTGGTGGGTAAAGACTGGAAATATGATTGACGTCTGCTCCACAGATATGACATCTGACATCAGTTCCTATATGGCGTCTGACTTTTTCGGCGTTCGCGAGGACACATTCCTTGCATGCGAGCCAGGAGTATTCCAAATCTTGATAGATTCCGGTACTTTGTGAGGGTTTCTCATAATTTTTTAGTTTGGTTTCTCAAAGTTTTAAAATATAATTCTTTTAAGTCTAATCGGTTTTTACTCTTAATAAAAATAAATCAATTTTTATGCAAAACATAAATTATAGATTTGATTTGATTTGATTTTTATAATTTAATCAATTAGTCTCTATACTTAACCATAGTGCATAGTCTAATAACAAGATTTAACATAGAATATTTAATATCTATCATTTAGATTAAAATTAAAAGATTAAAAAATAATGAAATCATAATATAAGGACTAGCTCCTAACTTAAGTACAATACAGGGACTAGAAAAAGAAATTGATCTAAAATGTAAAAAACACACGTGTAATTTGCCAACTCGAAATGGACGCTTTCACCCAAGAAATCCCCGGTCCCGGTAATCTTATACTCCGCGGTACATTTTAGCAGAATACCCTTAATTAATAAAGGAAATTACAATAAGACCCCCAGAAATCTCATAACCTGAACGTTAAAGCCGCCCCCCGCCCTTTTCCCTCACTCCCATGTAATCTATCATATTGCGAAAACTCTCTCTGCGCTTTCCCGGCGATCGGCGTAGCGAAGAAGATACCTACCGGCGGCGGTATTTTAAAGAAAATTTCTTCGAAGCATAAAAGAAAAAGGAAATCATATTTTTTTCATTGGGAATTCAGAGAGAAAAAAGCTTCTTTTTTGAATTTTTTTTCTTGGTGTTAAAGATTGAGCTCGCTCTTCGATGCGATCAATGGTGTGTTCTGGTGAGAGAGAGATGGCGACGGGACCCCAGAGATCAAAACCTCTTCACAATTTCGACCTTCCCTGTTTGAAGTGGGGGAATCGGAGACATCTCCGGTGTATGAAACTCGACGATGTTTCAAACGCCACCAACTCATCCGCCGCTGTTGCTGATCAATACCAGCATTGTCGTCTTCGTGTCGTTCAAAGGCGCCGATCTCCCCCTTCGAAGCTTGAGAGTTTGGTGGTTGGTGGAATGCGGCGGCGCGAATCGGAGTCGTCGTCATCTCCCAGCAGAAAGAACACCGATTGTGCGAGAGAACAGCGGTTGATGATACCGAAGGGAGAGGCGGCGGCGGCGGGGATCGAGGCTGTTAGGGAGAAGATCATGAAGGATCTTAAAACGGCGGCAGATGAGATCAAAGGTGCAATTTTTAGAGACGAAGTGTCCGACGACGCGAACGACGACGACGATGAATTCGAAGAGCCTAAAATTAAGCAGAAAGTAAAAGAGAAAGAGAGGGAAGAATCGCCTGCGGTAGAGGTGGAGCCGAAGCCGTGGAATCTCAGGACAAGGCGTGCCGCGTGTAAGGCTCCCAATGACGGAGAAGTAACTAACACCAATTATAGCTCTCCGATGATGAATGAGGTGTCTAAGTCACCCAGAGCAAGAGACAAGGGACCGTCGTTGGCATCGGCGCCGCCCGCAGCCGATAGGAAAAGATCCCGTCCAAAATTTTCGGTGTCGCTATCAAAGGAGGAGATCGAAGAGGATTTCAAGGCCATGGTTGGCCACCGCCCTCCTAGAAGGCCAAAGAAACGAACACGTAACGTTCAGAAGCAATTGGATGTAAGTTTCTTCTTCTTCTTCTTAAATTTTTACTTTTCCGATTGTTTTTGTTGTTTTTCGTTATTTAGTTATTGTCTTGGCTCCAGTACTTGTTTCCTGGATTGTGGCTGACGGAGGTAACGGTGGATTCTTACAAGGTCCCGGAGTTGGCTGAAAACGGCAAGGTAAGTGCTCTTTAATTCAAAAAAAAAATCCACCTTCTTCTCTTCTCTGTCTGCTAATTTCTTAGCAACCAAACAGATGAAAGAGCAGGGTCTAATTTAAGATCTCTGTATTATTATGGACTCGAAATTTGTGAGCTTGCCTTATTGTCATTTTGACTTTCTGCAGAGGTAGTAAGGGGAGTTTCAACTTGTAACAAGGTCTAAAGAAATCATTCGATTTGAGGCTTCCGTTTGAATTAATCAGACAGGGTTACCAAAGCTTTGTGGATTAGAAATTTCACAGAACAAAGTTGAAATTTTCTTATGTTTCTGGTTAGGTTAAAGTTGCTTTACAATGCTAATTTTTGTTTTAATATGATCTTCATTCATTTTATTTCTTTATCTCGAGCCGAATAATCTTGTACAAATTAAGGTGACAAGTACACCTGCTGCTTTTTTCAATAGACGAGAATGGTTCTTCTGATTACAATAATTGAATGAAATGCAGTTCTTGACTTAGATTCTGTGTCGTGTTTCTAAAACTTTTGAGTGCACTCAACTAAGTTCCTGGTTCTTTCAGTTCTTTAAGCTCGTCCTAGGTCAATTTATTTACTATTGGTTTAATCGATACTGCTATGGCTTTCTTCTGTAGCATTAGCGTTGTTTGTTTCACGATCTGTGTGCTTGTTTCAATCGATGAGGATGCTTGAGAATTGAACTTTTCCATGCTTCTTGTTTGTGTTGTTCGGATACTTTGTTTTCGAAAACTTTGCATGCTTCTTGTTTTTGTTTAGCGTTGTTGGTCAATCAATGCAGAGTAACAGGCTGCTTTCGGCTTCAACAAAAAACAAAGGAAATTGACCATGAAAACGTGTGCCTGCATTTTCTGTGTTAGGCCCCAACCCCGTTTAGGTATCTTTGTTGCAACTTGCAAGTCATGGATCTTATTTTCAGATACGCCGACGCTTTTCTCTAGCAGCAGGGTTTCATTTCATCGCTTGTTTATCTAATAGAATGCCCGCCAAGGACAAAAGGATGTTGCTAGGGTAGGCCGCAACCTACGAAGCCCATGAGACATCAACCATTCATTGCTTGGGCCGATCTAAACTAGGGGATGGGTATTTCATCCGGATCCGACGGATTTTAATCTTACTTGATTGGGTCAATTTTTTATTTTTAAAATTTGGTTTCGGATTGTGTTTTTTTAAAAGGATTGGGTTGGGGTCGGATTTAGAGTGAAAATCTTGATCTGATATAATATTATAATTTCTCTTTTATATTTAGAGATAATTGTAATAATAAATATTTCTATATTTTTTCAATTAGGTCCTTTATCTCATGAAAATGAATTTATATATAGATAGATCGGATTAGGTTATGTGTGAGTTTTGACCTAAAAAATCAGATCAGGTAGGATCTTACTAAACCCAAGTCAAGTGTGCCTGAATGGGTTTAATATTCGGGTTGAGTTCAGGTGATGAAGAATCTTATTTAATCCATGATCATTCTTAGTCGAAACTCACGTGAAATTAATAAAGTTGTTATAATGGATGTATAAGAAACGATAGTCCTATAAATACAGCGCTTAATTCCATAGTACATGTCCATTAAAGATCACATCCATCACCTTATATGATGGGTCATATGCCACAGCATTATACCACAATCTATAACTATCACACAAAGCATCCAGTCCAATGTGGTTTCTCATTAACGATAACTCGACTACTCCATCTAGCTAGTTGCCCATCTCTCCCAACTCTCCACATTGCCATAACCCATCCGTCATCTCATCATATATCCAACAACACCCTTCACCGGCAGCAGCCATAGATTCTATGCCGTGCCCACTGCTGCCAATACCGTAACTTCCATTCAAAATTTGCTCATATACGTTTGGACTCGCTTGGTGCTGGGCAAATTGATCAGTTTCCTCCGAAGTGTTCACGAATTCTGCTGCAAATGAACCGGGAAATGTCGACGAGGAAGGGACTATGCATTCCGGTAGTTGAGGACTCGTATCTTTCGAATGAGAAGCAGAGCATGTCTGTTTTTGCACCCTCGTCCTCCAATAATTCTTGATCGCGTTGTCCGTTCTTCCTGGAAGATGCTCTGCAATTTTTGACCACCTAGAGAGATAACAAAACTCAGGCCATTTCTAAACAGCCCTCTGGGTTAGATCATTGAATAAAATTACCTGTTTCCCCACTGGGAATGAAGCTCGAGAATCAAGAGCTGTTCTTTGAGAGTCAGGTTTCCGCGTTTAATGTCGGGGTTTAAATAATTCAGCCACCTTAGTCTGCAACTTTTACCAGTTCTCTTGAGACCTGGAGGTGGATCAACGAGGAATACATAAAAGAAAAAGAAAAAGAAGATTATAGTTTGATAAAAAGTTTTGGTACCTGCACATTTTGCCAACATATTCCAACGACCAGCCCCATGATGATCGATGTAATGGGTTAAGAGAGCATCCTCTTCAGTTGTCCATGGCCCTCTTCTCAGCTCACTGTCTTCTTCAATATGACTGCACATTCTCTTTGTGATTGAAGCAATGAAATTCGAAATACTTGGCTTACTGAAATTTATAGGCTTCAATGCTATAAAGTAAAACAAGGTTCTAGGACTAGGAAAGCAAGCAAATATCTAAATTATATCAGTCCAAAAAGTGTTACATATCTCCTATTTTCAGCACGTGAACATAAATCTAAATTATTTTCTTTGAGATCACATGTTATGTAAAATTTGATTACTTCGAGGTATGTTTCTAAAATATCATATCATAATAAATATATCGTGTTCTTTCTGAAATAAATATCAAAACTTCGAAAAATCATAGATTAAAAGAAGATAATTTCATATTCTATAACGTGACACAATTTATATATTAAAAGTTAGATCGAATGATAACATCTATAATATAATATTACCAAATCTATGAGATTTGAGACCACGAATTGAATTGACAAGGATGCTAAGAGAAGGAATAAGATCCAAAAAGAAGAGATCAATAATGGATGTTGAAATTAAGCATGAACATCATGTTTTATTTTCTTCTTTTTTTCCAATTTTAGTTGGTTAATCTATACCATCGGTGGAGATACCTTTGTCACTTTTTTTCTTAATATGGCATGCAAATGCTGGAAAGATCATGTGGCCTGGTGGTATAGATAAGGGATTAGACTACAATAATTTCCTTACGGAGGAATACCATTCCAAAAATAACAGTGACATGTAGAGCTGGGTATACGGACTACCCTCCCATTTAGTCCGCGGGTTTTGACGGTGTGGGTTGAACGGTTTAAAAAGCCCGCAATCATAAACGGTCTTGAATTCTAAGACCCGCGGCCCGTTCCATTTAACCCGCAGGCTAACGGGCTTACCCGCGACACGTTAAATAACAACAATTTTAAATGTTATAAATGCAATAAAAAATAATGTTTTAACTTGCTACAAATTTAAAAATGATCCAACAACTTGAAAAGTCCATTACACTATTAAGTCTCAAGATAAACAAGTAAATAAATAACACCATTAAGTCTCAGTAAGTCTAAAATAAATAACACCATAACACCATTAAGTCTCAATAAGTCTAAAATAAAAAACACCGTAACACTAATAATAAGTCTAAATAAAATCAACATCAATAATATTCAATGTTTTTTTGAATCCTTGGATGTAGTTGAATCTTTCATTTTTCCAATAACACTAATAATAAGCCTCAAGTTTTATATATTATTTGCATATTTGCATATTATGTTACTTTACATTTTTAATTTAATTATTATATTTATACATGGTTTAATACTTTGATTTGTTTTTTTTTTCTGTTTTATTAACGTATGTATATAGTTTTTCTTATGATTAATTATTGGAGTATAATAAACATTTTATGGCTTATTTATATATATATATATATATATATTGATGGTATTAATTATAAATAGTAAATATGTATATAAAAAGATGGAGACCTTTTTGCTTATATTATTATATTACGTTACCATAAGTATAATTAATACGTTTGAACTTCAAAATTCCATATCATCAAATTAAAACGTGAATTGAGCTTCAGATTTCAGTGCACATAAAACGTGAATTGGGCTAAATGTGAATTGTCTTCCGTATAACATAAAATAAATTGAAAAAAATAATTAAATTAGGTGGGCTACCCGGAGAGCCCGCAGGTATACCCATTAAACCCACATGTTTAACGGTCCGAGCTAATAAGCTCGCAATTTAAATGAGCATTATTTTTTGAGGCCCGAAGTCCTCACGGACCGCAGGTTGTACGGGTATTCCACGGGCCTTAGCCCATATACCCAGTGACATGGGAGGATAAGGTCACATACAATATGAGAAACCCCATAATATTTAATTAAATATTGATAATTAAATAAGAGTATCAAATAATTTAATTAATAAGATAATAAGAGTATAAAAAATATTAAAAATATGAGTTAACGTCCCCTCTAAATCTATCTTTATTTGGCATGTAGTTCCTTCTCTAACTTGTGTATATACGTAGTGAAATCCAATGGAGTACATCATCTCATTGAAATGAGGAATTGGGCCCATGAGAGGCTTATAGTTCATAATTTAAAGGGGAATTGAAACCCACGAGAGGCATGTCAATATGCTGTAGCATACCCTTTTTCACTGCAGTTAGAGGGGACTTGAGTTGCGTATAATGCATTGGATTAAGTGATGGTTGTTGTGAGAATAATATCAATTGGAGACAAAAAGGACGACAGGTGTAAGAAATGTGGGGCTTTAGCTTCACCAAGAATTTTCCAGACTTAAGGGCTAAGCATGTAACAAAGGAAGAATGATTGTTGGAGTTTCACAGGCAGTAAGTAGCAGAGGTTGAAAACAAAACATAAAGAATCAATCATTCAAACTTTAAAGTGATGGAAGGTGTCAGAGAAATTTTATTTATTTAATATTTATGTTATGTATCCATTTAACAGAGCAGCCCTCCCACTCCGCTCCGATTCCAACAGAAAGTTGGGATGTGATGGAAGGCATGATTGGTGGACGACCCAATTTGCCTTTCCCCTTGATGCCTCTAATATTTTCCACCAAAATTTGTTAATCTATATGATTTTTTATTAAGAAGTGATGCTGTAATTTTAAGATAAATATTGAAATTTGAATTTTAATATATTTTAAAAAAATGTTAGATATTTTAGATAAGATCATTTATTTTAAATATTAATATTATAAATGAAATGAATTAAATTAAGATTAAATTAAATTAGCTGCTCATTATTTCCATATGTAATGGGGTAAGGGGAGATAAGATAATAGGTTGTCCTCAATGTCAGGTTGAGAGTAACTTTCGTAGGAGACCTCCGAATTATGAAATACCCTCCGTAAGACTCGATCCCACGACCCCAAAATTAAGAGTCTTGCGCTCTACCAACTGAGTTGGATGGTCATTTATAGTTCCAAATAGTTAGTATTATTAAAAATACAAAAGAAAACCTTAACCTCAACCACTTCAGCTTATATCTTATTAGCTAAGGTTACAATTTTTACCCATGATAAATGAATGAAAGTGTAGCATCGAAATTTATTTTGAATTAACTGCACTCATAATTATTTTAATTCTATTTATATGATTGTTTAATTATTTAAATAATATCAATAAAATTTAAATAATCACGTGAAAATTTTAATTCTATTTATAATATTTTTTAATTATTTAAATAATATCAATAAAATAACAAAAGACTAATATAATAATTCATTTAACGGAGAATTCTAATTACTTTCGCTAATAATATGTATCCTAATGTTTTCTATACGAATTTAGAGTGCGTACGTATCAAAAAGGAAAAGGTCCCCACCTAAACACCAATATCTTCTTTCTCTGCCAATACCTAAGCATTAATATCATATAATAATGGATAGTTTTGCGGTGCGGCGCCTAAAAAACGGTTAATATACGGCGTGACCGGTTAAATAATTGATCGGTTAAAATTTATACCGATTATATTATATTATTTAACCGGAAATATTATAAAGTACAATAACATACTAGGTAGCGCTTATATATGTATAGGTAGCGCTTATATTTACCTATTTTATAAAAACCGGTATATTTATACCGATAATATGTAAATTTACCTATTACATTATATATTGAAAGTGTCCATACTTTTTATAAAAAGGATCGATACTTCTTTTAAAATTATGTAATTTATTTCAATTTTTTTTAATAGTGTTTCATGTTTTCCACTACAATATTAATTAATAATTTCATTTGCACAAAAAATTATTTGATTATTTGATATTTTATAAATATTATTTAGAATTTTTATTAATAATAATATATATCGTAACGTAAAAAATAAATCATTATCGCCTATAATTACTAATTATATCTTAAAACTCACTCAAAAGATAACCTTAATTAATATTTTCCATAGTGAAAAAGTATGAACACTTTATAAAAGGATAGACACTTTACAAATAACCATACTATTACATTATATAACGATACCTTTATTATATAAGCGCTACCTATTACATCATATTTTTACTATTATATTGAAAGTGTCCATACTTTTTTAAAAAAGGATCGAGACTTCTTTTAAGTTATGTAATTTATGTTTCAATTTTTTTTAATAGTGTTTCATGTTTTCCACCTACAATATTAATTTAATTTCATTTGCACAAAAAATATTTGATTTTTGATATTTTATAAAATATTATTAGAATTTTAAATTAATAATAATATATATCGTAACGTAAAAAATAAATCATTAGACGCCTATAATTACTAAATATCTAAAAACTCACTCAAAGATAACCTTAAATTAATGTTTTCCACAGTGAAAAAAGTTTGGACACTTTTATAAAAGGATAGACACTTTACAATATAACCACTACCTATTACATTATATAAACGATACTATTATTATATAAGCGCTACCTATTATCATATTTTACCTATTATATTGAAAAGTGTCCATACTTTTTATAAAAGGATCGATACTTCTTTTAAAGTTAGTAATTTATGTTTCAATTTTTTTAATAGTGTTTCATGTTTCCACCTACAATAGTAATTAATAATTTCATTGCACAAAAAATTATTTGATTATTGATATTTTATAAAATATTATTAGAATTTTTAATTTAACAACATTAACCAAAGATAATAATAAATATGTAATATATATGTTTATTTTTTAATAATAATATATACAATATCAAACACATTCCAAGCTATAATTACAAGCTAAGGACACTTGAAGAAGCAAGAGAACAACTATTCAAGCATCAAAACGAGAAAATCCCAACATGATAACAACTGAACATATATCAATGTTCAAACTCAAGTTGTAGATTTGATTTCCTTTTGCTTGGCATCATATGAGATTTGAATTTTGATTTCCTTTTGCTTGGCACCATATGAGCTTTGGATTTGATGAGCATCGGAAGTATTCGGACTTATGATTTGGGTGGTACTCAGAAGCATTTCGAACTTCTGATTTTAGTTGCTATTTGGTTTACCACCCAGATCATACGCCCGAAACGTTTCTGACGCTTTAAAGTTGACCAAAAAATACAATGGTCGAGATTTCCCTCGCGTTTAAACGTTGGAAAAAAAACAATGGAAATTAGGAATAATCAATGATAACATGCATATTGGCTTGGGCAATATTTATAGTGGAGCCGAAATATATGAAATTCAAACTCAAATTGAAATTTAAATTCAAACTCCAATTACATATGAAATGAATTTGAAATGCAGTGTTAATTGAACATGAAAATGCATAATTGATTCATACTGTTCAAGTACATGCTTTATGAACCATCAAGCTAAAAGATAATTGATTGAGTTCAAAGCTGAGTTGTGAGTGATGGGAGTTGTCACACTTGTCACAGTTGGAATAAAGTAATTTGATTTAATAATTTTATGCAGTGTTAAATTGAACATGAAAATTGCATAATTGATTCATACTGTTCAAGTAACATGCTTTATGAACCATCAAGCTAAAAGATAATATTGATTGAGTTCAAAGCTGAGTTGTGAGTTGATGGAGTTGTCACACTTGTCACATAGTTGGAATAAAGTAATTTGATTTAATAATTTTATTTGCACAAAAAATTATTTGATTGTTTTGATATTTTATAAAATAATA